GGCGATCCTGTACATGTTTGCAGACTTTACGGAGCGTCTACTTTTCATATCAGCTATGTGTTTTTTCACGCGTAGCTGATGAGAAGAATTAGTCAACACGTACAGGATCGCCCTCGTCACTACACCAATTTTGATAGACCCCAATTTCAAGTATTCGCGAGATTTTGAAATAAAAAAAAACAACCAAATATTATTAAAGAAGATGTCTGGGTGCTATCATCTGCTTGAGACCCTATAATTAACAAACCCAGGCCAAGCATACAACTACAAGGATTCAAGGTACTGTTAGCTTATTCTGCGTAGATCAGATAACTACAAGATCGGGATATTAAACACCTCAGTCTCCCCTTTACCATGGGTGCTTAAATGTACTCGACATTTGGGGAATACAAAATAAGTAAATATATACGCGATTAAATCCATAAAACTGGAATAGAAGGAGAGTTAATTGAGCAAGTGGATGAGTTCGTATATTTGGGATGTGTATTCAGCAGGGATGGGAGATATGATAAGGACATTGAACGACTAGTGAATGCAGGAAATAAAGTAAATGGGGCTCTACACTCTATTGTGAAAAGTCAGAATGTGTCAAAAAAGGCACGTATTGCAATTCACAGTGCTGTATTAGTCCCTACTTTAACGTATGGTAGTGAAAGTTGGGTGTGGCAGAAGAAGCACGAGAGTAGAATAAATGCAGTAGAAATGCGGTCGCTAAGGAGTATGTTAGGGCTGAATCTGAGTGACAGGGTGAGAAACTGTGTGATAAAAGAAGAGTGTGGTTTGCAAGATGATGCGGTGACCAGGATTAAGAAAGGAATGCTTCGGTGGTTTGGTCATGTAGAAAGAATGAATGCGGAAAGACTGACAAAGCAAATATATGTTGCAGAAGTGAATGGAAGAGTCGGAAAGGGACGTCCTAGGCGGAAGTTTGTCGACCAAATTGGCGATATACTAAAAATGGGCCAAATTAAGAGTACCCTTAACCGACGAGCATGTATGCGTAGGTATATGGATGTGGAAGAGGCGAGAAAGGTATGTCAGGATCGTGCTAAATGGAAGTCTGTAGTCTCTGCCTACCCCTCTGGGTGACAGGCGTGAGTGTTTATGTATGTATGTATTATTATTATGTAAAACTGGTTTACTTTAAGTATGTACTCTTCGCGTAAACATAAGAAATTATTCAGGATATTATGCTGGCTGCTGGTCGTGTGACCAATCTCAAGGTCGCACAGCGAATTATTGAGAGGACTGTACTTGGGATTTCTCTGCGTGATACATTTAGAAATGAGGATATCTGCAGTAGTACCAGAGTAACCGACAGTAGCCCAATGGATTAAGCTGAAGTGGCAATGTCCAACCATATGATACATATGACCAAAACAAGCGTCCTGTATAATATATAGGATCCATGCGCGGTGCATTATGGAATAGAAGGTCACGCAATTAACTAATAAATACTAAGTGTATTTCATATTTCTTACTACACCCTCATATTTGTTATTGTCGGTGATACCGGTACACGGAAAAGTTTCTATAAACTTATGATTGTACTGTAACGTAATGTGTAATTAATGAATGTAATAATATATTAAAAAATAAAAATTAAATGAAATATAGTTTTAAGAACCGAATACCAATGGGAGCGAAAGATTCGCGAGTGACAGCCTCGTACCCAAGTCGCAAACGAAGTGTAGAGCGGTCGCCACTAGATGGAGTGACGACCTGTAAGAATATATAAGAGGTAAGATTTGCAGGAAGTCGATGGACGGGCCGTGTTTGTGGCATTCTTTGGTGGAGGCTTATATTCAACAGGTGACTTGTGAAGGGCTGTGATGAAGGAGTACCTGCCTTTATCTAGAAAACTTAATGAAGAATGTTAAAAATATTATTTTAGAGGTACGATATGATATTTACTAATTTTTTTTGTATAAAATCATCATAACTGTTGAGTTAATTGCACAAATGTATGTCTAATTTGAAAATTAATTTAGAACTCTTTATGAGTGATTCTACAAATTAATCTCAGAACTTTAAAATTTAAAACGAGTAAAAAATTAATCTGTACGGTCTATTTTTTCCTAATACATTGTATATAAATTTATATTTTAAATGAAGTAAATTTCGTAAGAAAAATGGGGAATTAAACACACATTTATTTTAAGGTTGCACCTTTTTAAACTACTTTGTACTTCCAAACTGATTGCAGATCCTTAATGCGCAATCGTGGCACTCATCCGGGAATTCACATGTATAACTTAGAAGAAATGAAAATTCCAATAGCCAAGCAGCTCATTCAGTTCAATGAAGACATAGGGCTTAGCAGTGAACTAACTGTAGCGGCAATAGCAATAAATCATACTGGTCGCATGATACTGGCCAAAAAGCAAACAGTCTTTATGAAAAAAAGTAAAAGATGTAAAAAAAAATATTAGATCTGAGTCATCTGCGTAATAAAATAAATGATGTGTTCTAGTTTGAAGAGCACCTTCTACCCTCCACCAACAGCTGCACCATTTCCGTCACCACTAATCCTGGCACCATTACTCCCAACACGACTTCACTAGGTTAAACCACCGCCGATAATACGATACGTGTTTGCCACGAGTCGGTAAATATTTAGAAATATAAAAAATTCTATGTGGGATTAAATTATTTTATAATGATATTATTAGTTGCTAAAGTAATTTTATTAAACTATCTCTTTTAACAACGTTGTGATATTTTGCTTAGTCATATCAATGAAACTCTACGCGCGCGATAAAGTGAGCCCTTGGACGTTTAACACTCCAACGTTATTGTTCGCTGACGGATGATCGTGCCCCGGCATGCCATGGCTAATTAATACACATCGTTTTTGATTAAGTTGTAATTGGTCATCACCATAATATGTCCCTCTAGTGGATTATGTTTACGCGTCCCAATTTGTTATGCGAATTAAATTGCTTTCATTCCAATTCATCTAAGGGATTGTTGCGCAGAACTATTAACTGCACTATTAACGAGTGTGTATAATTAACTAATGTGAGCGTAAATTTATTCAAAAAATCTTCAATTGTATGTTAAATTTAGGAATAGAAAAGATGTCTGCATTATGTATTTATAATAATAATAATGCTTTATTTTACTAATACATTTTAACAAATGAATTTAAAGTCCCTGACTCCTAAGGTAGGTGTAACCTCTATCGCAGGAACCAGTGTCTTCTCACAAAAATAACGGCACAGATTACTTATGCGTTGACAAAAATAAAAAATGATGTTCTCTAGGTTAATTGTAGGGCAAAAGTAATTCTGTTTCAGTAAGTGTTAAGCCATAATATTATTTTCTTTTTTATATTATAGCTGTTAGTTTTTTTGCTTTATAAGATCTATTAAATTCGTTATATAAATATGGTGCTAAGTATTTGTACTTCTTTTTAGCAAAAAACACTTTTAATTGCTATGATAGGGCTCTCTATTTTTTTTTCTTATTTATTCGTAAATTTGAAGTATCTAATCTGTGATATATTCTAAGACATTTATAATTAAATGGCTTTCTAACTGTCTGGACTTTGGTTTTCTCGTAAATCGATGTAGTCGTATATCTAAAAGGTAAATACAATGCAACCTTTAAAACCGCTCTTTGTGCACGTCTAAGTCCAGGAGGAATGTCTTAGCTGTTCCTCCCCAGGAACATGATGTGCAATGGGTAATTATACTCTCACATAAAGCTTTGTAGGTCTGTTTAATTAATTTAAATGTTGCAATTATTGAGTTACAAATATGCTTTATTTCATTGTTTGTGACGAAAATGGCAAAACAGTCAAATTGAAGCGATATTCTATTTTGAAAATTAACTTGCACCCATGGCTTTTCTCATTTCCAAATAATTTTAGGGTAAGAAAGAATAAATAGTGCTGCCTCAGTGTATGATGGCGAATGTCGCACACTATTTTCGAATTTGTTTTAATTTCTCAATCATATATATTCGTTACAATGTTTATCTCCACAGCCGAGTTCGTGACTGTTCATTACTCATAATTTGCGATATTTTTTTAAACTGTCCTACTAGAGATTGAACTCAAGTTACTTTTGTATATTTTTTACTGTTCTTTTACCTTATAGCGCAGTGCATTACAACTATAGGAAGTCTATAAATCAATTTACCTATATGAACAGTGTAAACAAAAAAGGAAAGTTGCAGTTATCGCTTCTTATTTTCAAAACTTTAAAAAATTTAAATTAATTTTAGGGAACAGTATTTTCTATGACATCGCTACGACACATATATTATATACACATACTAGATGCCCAAATATTTATTGTTAATAAGGATGAGAAGTTGTTATTAATTAAGTTTTATATTTATTTAATTTCACCAACGATTGTTGCAACAATGCAGAAATAGTAAGCACACATCAACTTAGATACTAACTGCATAATCAATTAAAGGTATACACCGCATGCTTCAAGTTACTAAAATGTTACCTAGTAGTTATAAATACACAAGATACAAAAACATAGAATAGAACAAAGTTATATTATGTATCGTTTAATGTGGCCTTAATCTTAGCTAGAGACATAACATGAACGTCTATTGACCTACCGCACTTATGGTAAACTTAGTTGGGAAATCCTGGAGACCGGTAAATTGGCTCACAGAATTGTTTTGCGAAACGGAAGAGAGAGAGGTTCAATTGGCTTACGAGGCATCCGCGACGAAACTTTAAAGACGAATTTCATTAGGAGTGCATTACAATGCAACTGATATCTTAATATTTTGAAAAAGAAGGCTAGGTCAAGTAGATCCCTACGGTTGTTCAAGCTCTGCATCTAACATTTATTAATGTATAATAAATTAAAGCTGTAAGTGGCCACTGCGGTCCATGAATACCTGCTACAGATGCCCATCCCTGTTGCATTTTCTTCTGTCGCTTCTTGCGATACCCATATGGGGTATTGATTTCTTTAATGCAGCCACTACGCGTTACTAATATAAAGTTATAATTTTCTTTTTCGCAGATGTAATTCAAGTATGGTCAGCGCCAGGAGGTATGACGCGGCTACCATGCGACCTTGCTGCTCCAGCTCGGGATGTTGCAATGATGTTGTGGTTCAAGGACGGCGACAGGATGCCCATATATACGTGAGTTCTATGATAAATATTTACGAGGCTGAACTAAGACTTGTACGGTACTGTCATTTGAAACGAGATCACAATCCACCTGATGGTAAGTTGATGCTGTGGTCCATAGGTAATTTAAATGTACATCCATTGTCATCCCTAGGGTCTATGATTGAATGATTCCTTACTAGAAAAATGGCCCCTGGTTCTTGCCGCTCGTAATAATAAATTTTACTTTAATATGTGGTAAGACTACTTCTCCACTTAGGAGTCCTTCTGTGTAGGTACACTCTTACCTAGTTATTCCACTAAACCACAGCATTTGTACTGATTTGTTCAGGTCTGAAGGGTAGGGAGTTGGTATAGTTACAAGCTGTGAGGCGTTCCATCCTTGTCCTCATACGTAAAGACGCACCTGTCGCCTTTTAGTTACATGGTGACTGCAAGTGTTCAAGGGCTGCGGAAGCTATTTACCATCAGATGAGCTGTTAATTCGATTGTCAATTACGTTTTATAAAAACAAACAAAAAACTAAAGTTATAAGAAAACCTGTAGGACTATTCTAGAAATAATTCTCATGAAGTTTTTTCAGGATGCTTAGTCGTACAGTACAAGTAATTTGGGTAATTTTAACGAACTAATCAAGAAAATAATAAATTAAGCCTATAAAAAACTATAAATTTGTAGTGTTAAATGAGCTAACTAAAATAATATTATATACTAACTGGCTCGGCAGACGTTATTCTGTTCTTTCTGGTTGGGTACGCGATTAGTATTATTTTCACACACATTTCCCTATAAATCCTCTTTATGAATAATCCAACCAACACAACCATAACGACAATAAAAAAAAACATAACCCTGCTTTTTTATTCTTCCGTAAATGGATAAAAGATTGCCTACATGTTAGACGCCATGTCCTATTTACTGCCTACACACAACTTTCATGGAAATCCGTCTTGTAGTTTTTGCGTGAATCGTGAACAAATATTTTTCTACAGATTTATTGTGTGTTCTATACACAAATAAAAACTTAATGCTTCTTTTTTGACTCTTCCGTAAGCGGATAAAAAGTAGCCTATATGTCATACGTCATAATTTACTGCCTACACACAACTTTCATGGAAACCTGTCCAGTAGTTTTTGCGTAAATCGTAAAATAATTTTTCTACAGACTTATTATATTATGTATAGATAAAAGATTATATAATTAATTTCATAATTATGAAAATCATTAAAGTCCGTCTTGAATTTCGTAGAATAGAAATAGGCCGATAATGAGTTATGTACTCATTATCCGCCTATTACTATTCTACATTTTAAATAATTCGAAGCTTTAGGTATGGGAATAAAATGGATTAACTTTCATAATAACAGTAAAAAGATAGAAAGAAATTGAAGATATGAATGAAATGTGAAATGAAATGAATAGAATAGGAATAGGAATAGGAAGCTGGTGGTTAAGTAAGAAAACGTTATCTCACTCCCTGCAATTGTCGAGCGAAAAGCGCTTCAAGTATACGTCCAAAGATATTTTATAAATATTTTTAATAGATAAAAATAAGGTCGACTTTATAAAACGTGTTCTCATCAGCAAGACATCATCATTAAGACTCTTCGCAAGTCTGCTGCTGATTTTAGACCTCCCCAAAGAACACCACAAAGCAAGGTGGTGAGTGCATCCTCCACTTCGTGTTCTCAATATGACCTGTTGATAATAAGCAGTTTCATTTGATATAACTTCTACTCAATTTCAATATGGAATCTCTGCTAGGTACACTAGCTTGCCAGGGAAATGTTTTTCTGCCCTTTTCGACGACCCTTTGTCATGTCCTATTAAAAATCCTTAAATTCGCAAAAAAAAATTCCTAAAGGGACAAATCTACACACGGTGTGCAAATTTGATTAAAATCGGTTAAGTAGTTTATGAGTCCATTGCTGTCAAACAACGTGACACGTAATTTATATATATTATGATTTTTATCGAGCCAATTATAACGAGACTCGGTTTTGTCTTGACACAACTTTTGTCGAAATTTTTAATTTTTTGTCGCATTTGAATAGATCTATATATGGATAAAAATTTATATGTACTGAAACGTAGCCTTAATATAAGCCATCGTGATATTATTTACATTGACTTTAAATAATCCAAAGCCTAATATTATCTACAAATATAATTTTTTTAATTATATAACTAATTAATATAATATTTAACATTATAATAAATAACTTAACTAAAATAATAATTAAAATTATAATATTTACGATTAAAACTAATTATATATACAATATAAAAGAAGAAACTATAATATAGAAAACCTAAAACTAAAAATTTAAATCGTCAAAAAGACCTGCTCCCCGTGGTATAGTGCCAAGAACGCTGGCTGCGTTTCCTCGCTGAATAGCTATACTTAGCCTTTGAGCGAGGAAAGAACCAGCCCTCTTATCACCAGCAGCGACGACCAGTCGTGGATACAGTTCCTTTAGAAACTTCATTGCACGTGGACCCCGTGGACCGATAGTCTCTACAGCAAATGGCACAAATATGTAGTCATTTCTCAAAGACTCATATTTGCGCCATTTACTAAATTCGGCTGCCTCTGATGCCGCCCCGGCTCTACAACAGGTACCCTTGAGATGAGAGGCCGCCAAAGTGTCAACGCAAGTAGCATCCCACACTAGGGCTTTACCTCCCCTCCCAAGGGACCAAAGTCATACCGTCGGGTCTCTTGCCATCGTCTCTAAATATCCCGCAAGGCTCTAAAACCGAGGGGATATTTATAGAGACAAGAGCCCTTCGGATGATTTCGTTCAAAGAACCGTGACGGGAAAACCTACCTGCACTTTTTTGGCATGAAAGTCCGTGGAGCCCAAACTCATCGACGCTGCTACCACAGGGGCACTGGTGAGGTTGACAAATAGCCACTCCTAGCCGGATTCCTACGGCGATGCGCAAGCTTTCCCCATCAAGCAATGTGCCGAGATTACTTGATGGTAGAGCATGTAACCAGTGACTAGATTCCTTAGTCGAAACAGCTAGAAGGCGAGCCTGATCTTGTTGAATATGGAAATTTTGAAATAAATTTTTGTGGACACTCCGTACCAACGGAATATCCCACTGTTTTTGTTGGTTAACTTCCAGTGGGACATTTTCGCCGGGACAGAGCGTTAGCCATATTTGCTTTGCCTCCGCAGCAAAGCATAGGTCTACTTTACTATTTAAAATTGTGTTACATAGGTCATTGACACTATGCACGGAAGCAAGGAAAGCAGGCAATGCGACGCTAGAAATATTTCTTATACCAATTCCACCAAATTTGATAGGTAAAGTGGCTTGATTCCAGGCTATTGTATTTAATCTCAAATTTAGAATGTTTTCTAAAGCAATTTTAAGACTATTATCAATATCTTTTAAAATATCCGAACATTTCCAGACTGGACTTGAGCGTAACAAGTATGTAAATTTAGGTACAAGGACACAATATTTTAAAATAGTAAGGGCAATATGGGGGTTTAAAATATATAATTTATCAACGTGATTTAAAAATTGATCAAATTTTGTTTTTAAAACAGGTTTAATACTATCGAAAAACAACGGAGCACCAAGCAGGTAAAGCGATTCCGAATTGACAGTTTTTATTCCTGGAGAAATCTGATTGAAATTTTGAATTAAGGTATCTCTTTTAGAATTAGATAAATTATTAGAAATAAATATTTCACATTTATTTGTATTTGGTTCGAGACCAATATTTTTAAAATTTTGAAAAATATGAGTAAGATCATTGAGGACGTCATCTGCTTTACCTCCCAGTGTACCGTCGTCCAGATACCAGACATTCAGCTTGGATTTTAAATTTGAAATAATAGGTTGAATTCCCAAACTGAAAAGAGCTGGACCTAATGGATCACCCTGCTGAACACCGACAGCAGACTCAATAATATGGTTTTGATAAAACAAGTTTGAATTTTGACTGTAACATTGCCAAACGTAATGATATATTTCGGGGGTATTGTTAGCCACTTCTTTCAGCAGGGTTATCCTATCAATAGAGTTGAAAGCATTTCTAAGATCAACCTTCAGAGGAACATCTGCATCGGAATTAGTTAAGAAAGTACGCACCGAATGTACCGCCGCCTCACAGCCACCTTTGGTGCCAAAGCCTAGTTGAGTAGGTTGAAATTTTGTCTTAAGGTTTGAGATTATGTGCCTGCAAGCTAATTTTGAAGTTAAGCGTCGAAATGTAGAACCAACAGCAATAGGACGGATACCGTTATCCTTTTTTTTGAAGGCACACAATCTTGCCCCATATAAGTATGGAATGAAATTGGGATTGACATTACCAGAAAGCATAAAATTACATAATTTTGTTATGTCATTAAGAAGTACCCTACCGGCATCACCGGCAGATACGCTTACAAGGTCTTTGAGATGCTGAGGCGTAATCCCGTCAATGCCGCCGGCAGAGCCATTCGAAAATGACAATATTGCGTCTAAAGTGTCTTTTTCGGAAACTTGTAATGGTTGCATAGAAGTATTAGGAGGCAGCGGTAAATTTTGGGAAGGATTGACCGAAGGATGTTTCTGACGAAGGCCTTCAAGATTTCGACATTGCGAGGAGCGAGGATGTCATCTGAGAATAAAATACGGGATGCATTTTTTAAGTCGCCGTCCATTACTTTTGATTCAACTACTTTTTTTAAATCAAATTTAGGATTAGGTCGAGGGAAATGAGTATTAATCGGGTAATTCAAATTTTGAAAAGAATTTTCTTTTAGTTGAGACGTAATTGATTTATTTATTGTTTTACTAAAATGAAAGTGGGAATACGCGAATGTAAATAATTTTTGCCAACTTTTTTCACAATTCGTTAGAAAATTTTGAATGGTTAATGATAACGCTTTAGCAAGTTGCATCCTCGCGCCTCTTGGAATTCTTTTAACCACTGGTACGTTACTATACAAATTGTATAATTGTTTCGAAAAAAAGTGAAGAATTTGTGTCATTAGGTATATTATCAGAAG